GTTTGTTGCAGCTGTGTGAAAACAGTTGTGGGACAACTGTTTCTGGAAATATGACTATTCTACCTCAGTTTAGTAAATTTGTTTGTAACAAAACTGTGATACTCATATATTTGATACTTCAAAAGCATAAATTCAGTTCAAAACAATGCAAAAATTCATATGCACAACTCACTTAATAGTGAGTATCAAGAGTGCAAGACTCATATATTTGATACTTCAAAAGCATAAATTACATTTAATAAAATGATTAAATTATTTTTAGTCCCGTGTCACAATGTCCTCTAATGACACTGTCTAATCCTGATCACTACCTGCAGTGGAATCCAACGGACTGTCCGCCCACCAGAAGAAGTCACCCTTCTTAGCCATGCTCTTTGGGCACTTGTAGAACTGTCTCCCGTAATTGTGAGCTTGACGTGACGTCAGTAGGGTAGTCTGCATTCCGTATTGGCAGAGCAGTCTTCGGGATGTCCCTGAAACTCTGGAGCTCATATTTCTTGATTCCTACTAGATACAAATCATTAGTGATAACATAAATTGAATTTGTTAAAAGAAGTAAATGAAAATAAATTTTGAAATCTCGTAAAATTTTCAAACCAACATTATAAAAGGTAAAATACAGGTGGCTCACAGCGTCAGATAAATGCAACCTTTTCGTTATTTGAACCTATGTACCAACGTGTGTTTCATCAATGACTCCAATGCAATCCTACGCAAATAAGAATTTGTTCAAAATAGAAGACATGCATATTAAAAATTGAATGCCTTAAATTTAAAAAGTTACATTGAAAAACGACATGTAGCGTGCATCGTGTAGAATCTCCAAAGGCGTCCATTTGGATTTAGGATTTGTTTGCTTGATAACTTGTGTAAAAAGGCTGACAAGTGCATTCAAACCGACCGAAAAGTATCTATTAATCGTCTCAGTGGAGTGTTGGAATCATTCCATCGCACCTCGTATTGATTCGTTCTGCGCTAATATGTACAGGGTGATTGCTCATACCTCACGTGTAGTCGTCCTTGACGACCCGTAATGTCCGTGACTTCCGCTAAGTTCTGTCAGAAGATCCGTAAATATGCCCTTGGTCATCTGAAACATGTTGAATATAATTGGGTGTCCGACAAACAATTTTCCAACCCATTTGTCCCCAATAAACGACGATGTCAAACATGGAGAGTGATCAACCTATTTTGAAATATTCATTTGATCAAATAGATTGCTGCATTTCTTCTTCTCTGCCTATCTTCATCTGAATCCATGTAGTAGCTGAGACAAAACAAGATTAATAAATTCTGAACAAATCATGTCTCAAGTAGTAATGATATATGAGCGGTGATGATTTATGAATAATCTGCCTATATGAATTTTATTGAGCAAAGCCCCAAGCAGTTGAAATAAATGAATAACAATGCAATGAAACAAAAAAATACAAGTGTCCTAACCAATAGCAAATAAAATAAGTAAAAATAGTCTCAAATGTTCTGCTCATAAAATAGCCATTGATACACCACCTTCTTTTTTTCTGGAATCGTAACAAAAAAAATCTCTGCAGGTGGCAAATAAGTACAATGGCCAATCTTTAACAATTTTCTTATCCACATCCAAAATTTACACGATTTGCTGAATGGAAGTAGCCGGTACTGAACGCGTGTCAGGGATAGAGGAAGCTACCAGTTATGAAATATGGGTTCTGAGGTAAGCTGCTCTGCCTTTCTTTTTACTTTGCATCCGGGCTCGCTTGGTACGACAGGTGGACTCGACTTCCGGGCTCGGGAGTTCGGTCGAGTCAGCCGACAGATCGACCGCAAAGTTCTCATGGGTGGCAAAAAAACCTGTCTGACGGGACACACATGCATATTTGCCTATAGCGACGATGCCCTCGAACATCTTGTCCAGCTTCTCTTCCAAATCAGGGTCAATGCCACAAAGCTTAAACTTCTTTGCAGCTGAGACCACCTACAAAAAATAGATCGTACAATTCAATGAGCACATAAATTAAAATGAACAAATTAGAGCACGTGAAAAAAATCTCACCGCAAGTCTTTCTGTCCACCACTCCACCGAAATATCAATAGTTCGCTTCACTGGATCTCAACTAAAGCCCGTTGATCCGTGTTTGAATTTCTTCCAAAGTTTTCAATCCTTTTTAAGTTTATCCCATTTGTTCTTCAGCTGCACCCCGTCTTACTCTCGGCTTGTACTCTCCTTGAATTTCTTGATTATGTTCTGCAACCCTTTCTTGTTGAAATATGCCATGAGTCTATTTTGCATATCAATTTCAATGAGACAAAAGTCATAAAATCTATTTTTGTTTCCTTATCCCACAGTGCGGGTGTTGCAGTCTCTTTGGCCTTGGCCATTTTACTACTATGATAACCAAAAAATAAACAAACATGAGTATGAGCATTCAAAAAGAAAACAACGCTACATTTCTCTGCCTCATTTCAATCCAACTGCCACTGTGTGTGTGTGTGAGAGAGAGAGAAATATACTTATTTTCATCACAATTCCCCAAGTGATATCAAGAGTAAATTTCAGTGGCTTTGAATTGAATTACACTGTCTCATTCTTTTTTCTTCTATGCCTCATTTCATAGTGTGAGAGAAGTATAATTTTCTTCTCATCAGAATGCCATAGGTGGTACCACTAATAAAATTTTAGTGGATTCGAATCACATTATACATCTTTGCTAATAACTGTGAGACCACTGGTAAATTTCAATGACTGCGAATGAAAATATACATATTTGCAATTAGCTGTGATGACAAAAAAAAGAAACATTTCTCACATAATCGTCTCATTCTTTCTTCTTTTATGACTCATTTCACCGTGTGTGTGTTTGTGAAATATGCTTCTCTACTCATCAGAATGCCATTGGTGGTACCACTAGTAAAATTCAGTGGTTGCTAATAAAAGTATACATAATTGCTACTAGATGTGAGACAAAAAAAAAAGAAAAGCAATGCTCACATAACTGTCTCATTCTTTCTAGTTCTCTGCCTCATTTCACAATGTGTGTGTGGGGGTAATATACGTTTATTTTCATCAGATTGCCACAAGTAATATCAATAGTAAATTTCAGTGACAGAGAATTGTATTATGCATATTTGCTACTAGTTGTGAGACCACTAATAAATTTCAATAACTGAGAATGAAAGTATACATATTAACAACTAGCTGTGATGCAAAAAAAAAAAAAAGAGAAAAATGAAAAGAACAAAAAAGCAAAACTCATTGGAGAAGCAGCAGAAGACTACCTTCTTTTTCTTAACTTTCATGATTGCAAACTTCACTTTTTTATCGTGGATCTTCACTTTCGCCATGTTATCAGGCGGTACCGTCTAGTAGCGGATTTGACTCTAAAACCCGACAAACTGTCGAAATGGACAAATTAAATCCTGAGAATTCGTAAAATCCCGATTTAAGCGATTTCGAGAAGCTAAAGAGCGCGAATGAGTGGGATGGGGAATGGACGAGGGTTACCTTCCTCAGTGATTCCTGGTAGGATTGAACCGGAAGGGGGAGAAAGATGGGAGTTTTGGCGGTCTTTGTATGCCACAATTCCGTAGTTGCAGCTCTAATCGGAACTTGTATCGCGTTGGTTTTGGGAAACCGGTAGAGGGAGGAGGGGGATGTCAGCAAGGGTTTCGTTGGTTTTGGGCGAAACCCGTAGAGGGTCAGGGGGGCGACGGCAAGGGTTTAGGAGACGGGAAGGCAAGATGGTGTTTTGGCGTTATTTTTTTTTTTCAAGTCAATTTTTGTTTATTGATAACTAATAATTAAATAATATCTTATGAAGTTAATTATAAATAAATAAATTTATATGTACTTATGTAACTATTAATTATTAATTTAAAAAATAAACTACATATTAAATTAAATTATTTTAATAAAATTTAATAGTTATTAATTAGTTTAATGCCTCATTTCACAGTGTGTGTGTGTGAAATATACTTCTCTTATCATTAGAATGTCCCAGGTGATACCACTAGTAAATTTCATTGGCTTTGAATGAAATTAGACATATTTACAACTACCTTTGAGGTTAAAAAAAACATGGCTCACATTACATTCTCATTCTTTTTGTTTCTCTACCTCATTTCACAGTGTGTGTGTGAGAGTAACATACTTTTATTTTCATCAGATTGACACAGGTAGTGTCACTAGTAAATTTCAGTGGCATTCTTGTACTCTCCTTGAATTTCTTGATTATGTTCTGCAACCCTTTCTTGTTGAAATATGCCATGAGTCTATTTTGCATATCAATTTCAATGAGACAAAAGTCATAAAATCTATTTTTGTTTCCTTATCCCACAGTGCGGGTGTTGCAGTCTCTTTGGCCTTGGCCATTTTACTACTATGATAACCAAAAAATAAACAAACATAAGTATGCGCATTCAAAAAGAAAACAACGCTACATTTCTCTGCCTCATTTCAATCCAACTGCCACTGTGTGTGTGTGTGAGAGAGAGAGAAATATACTTATTTTCATCACAATTCCCCAAGTGATATCAAGAGTAAATTTCAGTGGCTTTGAATTGAATTACACTGTCTCATTCTTTTTTCTTCTATGCCTCATTTCATAGTGTGAGAGAAGTATAATTTTCTTCTCATCAGAATGCCATAGGTGGTACCACTAATAAAATTTTAGTGGATTCGAATCACATTATACATCTTTGCTAATAACTGTGAGACCACTGGTAAATTTCAATGACTGCGAATGAAAATATACATATTTGCAATTAGCTGTGATGACAAAAAAAAGAAACATTTCTCACATAATCGTCTCATTCTTTCTTCTTTTATGACTCATTTCACAGTGTGTGTGTGTGAAATATGCTTCTCTACTCATTAGAATGCCATTGGTGGTACCACTAATAAAATTCAGTGGCTGATAATAAAAGTATACATAATTGCTACTAGATGTGAGACAAAAAAAAAAGAAAAGCAATGCTCACATAACTGTCTCATTCTTTCTAGTTCTCTGCCTCATTTCACAATGTGTGTGTGGGGGTAATATACGTTTATTTTCATCAGATTGCCACAAGTAATATCAATAGTAAATTTCAGTGACAGAGAATTGTATTATGCATATTTGCTACTAGTTGTGAGACCACTAATAAATTTCAATAACTGAGAATGAAAGTATAATTAAAAATAAAAAAAAAGGTGTAATCAAAAAAAAAAAAAAAAAAAAAAAGAGAAACATTGCTCACATAACTGTTTCATTGTTTTTTATTTTGTCTCATTTCAAAGTGTGTGTGTGTGTGTGTGTGTGTGAAAAATATACCTCTCTTCTCATCAGAATGCCACAAGTGGAACCAATAGTAAATTTTAGTGGCATAGAATGGTATTAAACATATTTGCTACTAGCTGTGGGGCAAAAAAAAAAAAAACATGGCTCACATCGCTGTTTCATTGTTGCTACTTCTCTGCCTCATTTTACAGTGTGTGTTAGAGACATAAAATGCTCGTCTCATCAGAATGCCACAGGTGGTACAACTAGTAAATTTTCAATGGATTCAAATCACATTATACATCTTTGCTACTGGCTGTGAGACTTTAATTAAATTTCAATGGCCGGGAATGAAAGTATACATATTTGCAACTAGTTGTGATAAAAAAAGGAGAAATATTGCTCACATAACTGTCTCATTCTTTATTCTTCTATGTCTCATTTCACAATGTTTGTGTGTGAGAAATATACTTCTTTTTCCATCAGAATGCCATAGGTGGTACCACTAGTAAATTTCAATGACATGGAATGATGTTATGCTTATTTGCTACTAGTTGTGAGGAAAAAAAAGAAAAAAAATGGTTCACATCACGGTCTCATTCTTTCTACTTCTTAGCCTCATTTCACAGTGTGTGTGTGTGAAATATACTTCTCTTATCATTAGAATGTCATTGGTGGTACCACTAATAAAATTCAGTGGCTGATAATAAAAGTATACATAATTGCTACTAGATGTGAGACAAAAAAAAAAAGAAAAGCAATGCTCACATAACTGTCTCTTCTCTACCTCATTTCACAGTGTGTGTGTGAGAGTAACATACTTTTATTTTCATCAGATTGACACAGGTAGCATCACTAGTAAATTTCAGTAGCATGGAATGATATTATGCATATTTGCTACTAGCTGTGAGACCAAACAAAAAAAAATGTCTCACATCACTGTCTCATTCTCTTTACTTTTCTGCCTTATTTTACAGTGTGTTTGTGTGAAATATACTTCTCTTCTCATCAGAATGCCACAAGTGGTACCACTAGTAAATTTGAGTGACTTTGAATCAAATTAGACATATTTGCTACTAGCTATTAGACAAAAAAATAAGAGAAACATAACTCACATCAATGTCTCATTCTTTCTACTTCTCTGCCTCATTTCGCAGTGTCTGGAAAAATACTTCTCTCATCACCAAAATGCCCTAGGTGATACCAATAATAAATTTCAGTGGCATGAAATAGAATTATACATATTTGTTACTAGCAGTGAGAAAAAAAAGAAAACCAAGGAAAAATTCACCACACCAAAACAATCACCATATAAAAGCTTCAAAAAAAAAAAAAAACAGCTGAATCTACACTATGCAGAGCAACAAGAAATAAAAATGTCTCAAAAAATATAGAGAGAGGGGATACCGCAGTAATGTGGACTCTAACATGTCGGTTGGGGCTATGCGAGAAATAAAAAGAGCAAAAAACAGGAACATAAGGTGGAAAGAGGTGTGCGCGTGAAAATTTTGAGAATAAACGTGGCGGCACGTTTTTCATAGCGTGGCGACAACACCATTATTGGAAAGACACCCCAACTACGAAATGCCGCGGCTCGCTGTCGCGACGCGCTAAAGCAGTCACCCCAAACGGGACCTAAGTGCATTTTTGAGTTGAGCGGGTGAATTTTTCTTTTAACAATAAATAATTTTTAAAATATTTAATTTATTCTGTTATAATAATTTTCTTTCAATAATAACAATAAGCCTTTATCCCACAAAGTGAGGTCGGCTACATGAATCCTTTTTTACCATTGTTTTATTGAGTGTCATATTTTCATTTAATTCTAATTAATTAAGTTCAATTTTTATATAACAAGCCCAAGTTTTTTTAGATCAATTATAACAATTTTTCTGAAGAACTTAATTTACTTCTATTTTTTTTTAGTTTATTTACATATTATATTATTTAAAATTTTAATTAATGATGAACTAAGTAATCTATTTATGTTGTTTTTTTTTGTAATTTTATGAGTTTTTTTTTTAGTTTGAGGCTTACATCTCTATCTTCTTTGAGGTTTAACCTTGCTAAGGCAAAATGTTTTAGTTCCAGGTTCTGACTTTTTAAACCTACCAATGAGTGGTTCATCAATATGCTCATATATCACTTTCATATAGTTCATTTCATTCATATTTTTCATAACATTCAAGATCTTTTTTTATCCTATAAAATGTAAATGATAAGTGACATGTAACATTTATTTTGTAATAAATGGTAAAAAAACCAGTGTAAATAAATAAAAAAAATATTATTAAGAATTTTGAATCAGCATGGAATAATTGTTAGACGGTTTCGTATTTAGGAGTCGAAGGAGGGGATGAACGAGGTTCATTTAGCGGCTTTCATTTCTTTATATTTTGAATGTTCGAAAGATCTTTTACAAATGAGAGAAATAATTGACATAAAAAAGTACGTTTAAGTGATTATAAATCGATATGAAATTATAACTAAAAAATGTAAGTCAATCAGGATTTACTCCTAGTTGATATTGACAGGGGATGCGATGTACTCATGCATGGAAAATAAAATTGAAATGGTAAACGTGTACCTTCCGGCATAAAATTTTAAGGGTAGTTACATGCACAACTTCTTATGAATTCTTTCGGGTATGACAGCAATCCTGATATGACCTTTTAAAAGAAAGATAGAGGTTAAGAAAGTAATATTTAAATTGAAAAAAGAATAATTAATTTAAAATGAAAATTTACAGTTTAATTGTAACACCTAAATTTTAAGAAATCATGTAAAATTCGACAAATTTGAAAAGTATATTAAATTTTGCATTTTCTGAAAGTCAATCAAATTATTTTTATAAAATTCTATGCATCACATCAATCAATTCGATATAAAGTACCAAGCATGAATTATTAAAAGGATTGATGAATATAAAATTTGGAAGTTATGTCTATTTAAACTAATTAAACGCCTAATTATATTCCTAGTTTCAGATTACTATAGCTAACCGACCTTACGCCTTTTATTCACTAGTTTTGATTGCATGGGTACTAGGGCCTTCTAATTTCCCTTCTCTCATATTACCTTCCCTTCCCTCTACCTGTTTGGTCTCGCCTATCTGGAGCATCCCGCAAACTCTGGTGAGAAGAATCATGTCCCTACACTGTAGCAGGCAGGTCGAGCGAAGTATAGGGAAGCTGCAGTCCGCGATTGAAAGCTCCGGGGTGATTTCGGTGGGATTATACATATTTGTTACTAGCAGTGAGAAAAAAAAAAGAAAAACCAGGGAAAAATTCACTACACCAAAACAATCACCATATAAAAATATCTCTTTCACATCATTTGAGACAATCATTTCCTTTCTCACACATCTCTATTGAAGTTTGTCTCGTTTTTCGTGCATTTTTTCTTTACAATAGTTGTCAGAGGTGTTGAACTTATGTTAGAAGCATCAAAAGTGGTGTGCGAGCTTCCGTACGGGATTTAGCATGAAATCAGAGAGTAGTAAAGTTTGGGGTGATAGGAAGGAGAGAAAATTGAATTTGTCGGTTTCAGAAAAGCTGATTTATGCCGAGAAGCCTGTTTGAGGTTTGTGTTAACATTTAAAGCATGTTTTGGGTTAAATCACATTACGAGCTGAAATCTTATGAATTCCTACAATGCTTGTGAATTCCCAGGTTGTTTTTACGAGGCAGTTAGCTCGAGACAAACGCGAGCAAACTCATCATAGGGCTGTTCCGTCAAGTCAGGTGAAATAATCTTATGCTAATTTAAGAAAAATCTTATGTAGATTTTATGTGATTATATATTCTACATTGTTGCACTTTGATTACTTGCATATTGTAAATGAATACCTGCTTGGAATGTATGAATGCTAGTTGATTTTTATTACGATACATTTGATGCTACTATGCTATGATACATGAGATTGTGCTTATGAAGTAATTGGCTGCAAGTATTCATTTGTTGTGATTGCATGTGATGTATGAAATGCCCATGAATGTTTGTTACAGGTATTATGCTTTAAGAAATATCACGAGTATATTATGGGTAGGCTATGACATGAGTGCTTGCAATTACACTATGCAAAGATGTGGTTTCCCTATATTATGGGTAGGCTATGACATGAGTGCTTGCAAAGATGTGGTTTCCTGATGTGGTTTCCCGACTCCCGGTGTTCAGATGAAGATAAAATTTTGAAACTATTTCGATCAAATGGTGACAAAGTGTAGGGGCAATAGGCAACGTGCATCGAGGCGAGTAGCTAGGTGCGCACTGTATAAGCTTTGTAAATTTGTACATATATTTTGGGTACATACTGTTATTATTTTTAGATTTAGTAGGTCTATTTATATGTTTTGATGATATAATTTTTCACACTTTCAAATAAGAATATGAATGAATTTTGAAATGCAACGTATTACTTATGTTTATAGTGATTTGGTTAGACCGGCTCATTACCTACTGGTATTGATTATGCAAGTCAGAAGGAGTGTTGGTTAGAATTTAGTGTTATCAAATTGTTCTCTTCTGTCACACCTCAACCGACCCTCAAAGAGAGGGCCAGTTGGGGTGTGACATTAATAATTAATGAATTACATTTCTTTTGGACATTCATGTATAGCATTTACATATTACTTTAATTCATTATAAAATTATAATTGTTTATTAAGTTGTGATAAACTTACTGTTGAAGCTAATTATTATTTTTAGGTTAAATACTAGTTTGATATGACTGACCGGAGGGATTTAGTTTACAGTAGGACTATTGATACTAGGTAGTTGGTTTTTTGTTTTACTCCTAGCTTATTGTTTAATTCTTAGAAATGTTGGATTGTGATATTGTTTTACTCTTAGATTATGTTGATACTTTGAATGAATTGGTTTTTTGATTAGTGTACTTGTGATTTTTAGTGCCTTTTTATTATTGGAAGTTATGATGGATTATTGTATGATTTAAAAAAAAGTTAATATCGTCCAATCGCAGTTCTTAATTTGATTAATTCTAAGGTATCAGACTGGTTTGTGACAAAAGTGGTATTAGAGCTTTAGATTTGAATACTAATAAAAAATAGTCATTGGGTTGATTAAATTAATTGATAAATAATATAAATGAATTTTTTAATTGTCTAATAATATTCTTTATTATGTTATTTCAGAAATATGGTTAATCTAAAGAAAGTTAGTCATAGTAACACTGGGATTGATACACCTCCTAATATCTCAACTGACACAGATCTTTTTGCTGAGATGATTAGGAATTTTCCGCTTAACGCTAATTCTAGTGGGGGATGCCAGTGGACAAATATTTAAGTTGTTTCAAGATATGAGACCACCTTTATTTCTTGGAGGAAGTTCGATAGATGCTGAGAATTGGTTATTAAGAGTGGAGAAAATTATTGATGGGTTATCTTGTCCACTAGAGAGGAGGGTTACACTTTTGCCTTTGAAGGAGAATCTGAGATATGGTGACGGGGCAACTGTATGAGAAGTTTGGAGACAAAAACAATCACTTGATACAGTGAGATGAGTTCATGAACACATTTAGAGACTAATTCATACCACTTTTAGCTAGAAGGTAAATACAAGACAAATTTATTTGACTAGTTCAGGGAGATTGATCAATTATACAATATGAAACTGAATTTATTATGCTATCAAGTTATACACCCCAGTTGATTCCAAATGCAGAGGAGAAGTGTGAGATTTTTTTTTGGGCTAAATAATATGATTAGGCAACCGTTGATTTATGTTGGAATAGATGATTACTCTGTTTTGGTGGAGAGTTTCAGGAAGATTGAACTGGATTTACAGGCTACCTAGAGGAGGAGGGACTTTTAGAAGAGGAGGAATTCAAATGGATCCAAGTTTCTTTAGGGCTCTCTAGGCTGATATTCCTTTTGGCTAGGGGGTGTGCACTGTTTGTTTTTATTTAAAGAACCGAATCAAACCGAACTGATTTAATAATTTGGTTTGGTTTTAAATAAAAAGTTTAGACTTTTGGTTTTAAATTTTTTTTCGACCGAACCAACCAAGAACCAAAACTTTAACTTAGGATATCTAGGTAGCCTAGGGTTCCTCGTTTTTACTTTTCTGCTTCGCACAGTTGCGCCGCTCGCTTCATCCCCAATCCCAATCGGTCATCGCTTCCCTGCCTGGTCTCTCTCCTACCTCGATTTGTTGGCATTTCCTTTTGGGTATAAGACCGAAGGCTCAGCGAGGTACGATCTAAACGGAGGTGTCGTCAAAGGTGGAAATGGGAAAGCCATAGATGCATGAAGAGTCTTGGTTCCCTGGTTCGTACTTCTACTTGACTAACTTAGGCACATAGTCTTGCAACTTTTCCATTGGTTACCCCTAGTTTTTCTCTATCTTCTTCTACAACGAAAGTTTGCATTCTTTAACCCTAAATGACCAGTGAATTCCTATGTGGCTTTGCCTTTTTCTTTGCATATACTATGGAGTAAGGGGTTGTTAATATTAGTTGAGTTATGTGTTCTTTTCTTTCAGGAATATGCTCCTAAAATTTAAGTATGGTGGGAATCTTGAAAGAAGATAGCTTATGGGCTTTTTGTTTTCATGGATCATTGATTAATCTCCTTTTTGACACTCGTTAGCTTAGTTTTAAGGCTATAGTGATGAACATCTGCTCGATATAAAACATTTTTGTTGTTTTTCGTAAGTTAAAACAATATTACTGCTACTTGTTTGGGTGATTTTGTTTTTAATATTTTTTTATCTTAAGTGAAACCGGATATTTTCAGTGTGAAATTGTGCAAGCAGATAGCTTACTGTCCATTTTACTTTTCTAATATTGTGTGCAAACCATATATTTTCAGTCTGTTAGTATGCTACTTCACTGATCTCTGAAAGGCTAGTTGTATAAAGCTGTTTGGGTGATTTTCTTTCAGATTTCTTTGAAAGATTGAAAATATTTTGGTTAGTTCTTTTGATTTTCTGCGACATAAACTTATGGTGATAAATATCTTATTAAAGATATTTATGAGTTTTTTTTTCTCTATATAGGAATTTTTTTTTCTTTTTCTCTGTTTATTGGGTTTTTGTTAAAGCCTTAAGGTTTAAAGGCTTTGAGAAAACCTCCATAGGTTATACTCAACCTCTTCTGCTTATTCATCATTGATTTTATAAATACTATACAAAGCTCTAAGAGGCTGGGAAGAAATCAATACTTGAATTTGTAAATTTTTTTAGCCAGGTTTTCCAATTGTCCAATTTTCTTAAGCCGGCTTGTCCAATTGTCCAATTTTCAAATCAATCCTTATTTTTTATACTTACCGTGCAGTTAAACCCTCGTTATCTCACTTCCTTTATTTCACTGGGAAGGAATCAATGATTGGACTTTTTTTTTTCCTAAGGCTTCTTGAGTTCTTGTATATGTTTTTCTCAGCTTTAGCATTTAGGACTGATCTTTGGTTGCATTTATAAATATTTGATGGGACTTCTCAATTTTTTCTTGCATATGCAGTGATGCCTTCATTATCTCATTTTTTTATAATTTATTTAGATGTCGCATTGCAGAGAGAGTTCATATGCTTTGGATTCTTCTCAACAACAAGTGCCTATTGACTCTACCTAGCAAGTTAATTAATTCTCTTTGAGGCGTGAATGCTTCCAGTATCAAATTAATTAATGAAAAGAAAAGAAAGTCGATAATGCCAAGATCTGATATTTGGGATCATTTTACCAAAATCACAGCTAATGATGGAGGAAAGATGAGTAAATAGAATTATTGCGGAAAAATACATCATAGTGATCTAAAACTTAATGGTAAAACATATTTATGAACACCTCTTTTTTTTGCCAAAAAAATTCTCATAATCTTCAATCAAGTCAGCTCAATTAGTATTGCAACCAAGTGTTAAAAGAGATGAGATTGATGGAGGTCTTAAAGCATGGAGATTTAATGGAGATAATGTTAGAAAAGCTTTAGAATTTATGGTAATCGTAGATGAATTTCTCTTTAAATATGTTGAAGTATATGAGTTCAAATACTTCATGTCAAAATATTGTCCGATAGTTCAAATTCCTTCTCAATGAACACTCACTCGGGACTGTTTTCAATTCTACTTAAGATGAGAGGGCAACTTTGAAACAAAATTTTATGGAATCATGTAAAACAGTATGTTTAGCACCTGACACTTGAACACTCATTCAAAGAATGCTCATTATATTGATGATGATTGGAAATTGAGCAAAGAGTAATTAATTTTTGCCCAATATTTAGTTATAGAAGAGAATTTGTGGGACAAGAAATGAAAAAACGCTTAGTTGATTGTGGTATTGATGTAGTTTTACAATCACAGTTGATAATGCAAGCTCCAACAACGATATCATCACTCACAATTTTTTTTTTCTTAAAAGAGGTGAGAGTATGCTTGATAGTAGGTTCCTACACATGAGATGCATTGTTCATATCATAAATTTAATTATTCAGGATGGAATCAAGGATGTGGGTTATTCTGTACTTCGTATAAGAGATGATGCTAGGTTTATAAGACAATCTTTTGCCCCGCTTTATAAGTTTAAAGAATGCATTGAAATAGAAAAAAAATTCAAACTACGAGTTTATTATGCTTGGATGTGCCTATAAGATGGAATTTAATATGTTTGATGTTGAATTCAACATTAAAATTTGAGAGAGCTTCTGAGCGCTATGAAGTGATGGACCATCAATTCAAAACTGAATTTGAGAAGAATGAGGGAGTCATGGACTAAATGAGGTTCCACA